TTTGTCCAAGGTCTCAAACTTTCCAGTAATTCAGGCTATGCTTTATAGCATATTTGGACATATACTCCCTAAACATGAAAATAGAACAAAACCAAAAACTATATACCTTCTAACAAACTGTTAAAGAGAAAAACCACAGGCCTCAAATGGCATCATTTGTACTAAAGCCTATGATATCAAACCAAGATTTAATACCTAACCTAAATATAGTTTCAACCTTTACCAGAAGTGTAATCTTAATCCCCAGTCAAAAATATATTGATCAGCACTGAGGCAATCTCTCTCATGGGTCCTCTCCATGCCTCAGAGGAAGATGAGCCAACCTGCATGATAGAACCCTTGCCGTTCTCTTCCCCTCCAAAAGAAGATATGCTGGCCTAAAAACAAAACAAAACACCTTTCTTTTGTTTTGCTAAAAGCTCCCTTGTCCCATTCTTCTTTCTATAAAAATCTTCTAGTTTATACAATCCCTCAAAAGCTCTTCCATTTGCTAGAAGAGATACTGCCTGATTTATCAATTGCCCAATAAAACCAATTAGATCTTCAGATTTACTTGGTTGAATTTTGGTTTTTAACACTACTGTCAGAGGAGTGTGTAATTTCCTTGGTTCCGTCTTGCCACAGCAAAGATTTGAAATGGCAGACCAGTGTTTCAGCTCGGTTACAGCAGAGTTTTATTTGGCAAGCAAAGGAAAGTACACCCTTGAGGTGTGAGGGTGGGCCGACCCCAAAGAAGAGGCTTCCATCAGTCTTAGCTTCCTCCTTTTATACATTTGTCTCCTCCCCTACTTGAGCCTGTCCTATGCAAACTGGGCTGGCCATGAAGGGGGAGTGTTTATTTCACCTGAAGTTCTCACTCTGGTCCGTGGATTTTCTTTTGTTCCATTTTCATGGACTTTTTCCTTTCTTTGTCTTTTAGCCACTGCCATTTTGGACTCCATTTTCCTATTCTAACTAACATTCCCCCCTCAAGAGATGGGAGGCCCAGTTCTTTGGGAATAGGAGTGTTGAGGTCTCTCTGGCTACTTCCTGCTGAGCTGGGATGGTGAGGGGCATTGAGCCTCCCCCTCTTGCTAGTCTCAAACCTCAGAGTCCTTATAGTGGTGTCCATCTAAGGGTGAGTGATATTTTCTGTGGTTGGGTGTAGTTTTATATATCTTTGTTGAACCAGCACTGCAATTTTTAACTTGTTAACCTGGGCAGAGGCAAAATGGGTTAAACAAATGATAATACACAGAGCAATCATAAGCAGTATCAATATGATGATAACAGCAATTAGTAGGGGAATTAGCCAACTCCAAATTCCCCCTTACCAGGACAAGTATCCCCCAAAAAGACTGTAGCCATCCAGAGAACTCTCTAGTTTGTTCTTTGAGATACTGTAGGGTCTGAATGTTTTTCTTGAGGACTTTGAGACTTTCTTTAACTTAACTGGAGGTATTTACCCAGAAACAACATGTCTCATTCAAGATGGCTCAAGTCCCCTCTTGTTCAGGGATTAGGAGATCTATCTCCTGTCTGTTTTAGAGTACAACCCATGCCAAGCTGTATTGGCTCTTTAGAGCTGTCCTGAGAAATCTTAGTCTCAGAAATTTGATTTTGGGTGTGTTCATTAGAAGGCACTCATTTGTCGTTCTGAATAGGTATCTGAGATCTCCCAGGGGCTCACAGGTGTATTGAGTGTCCTCTTCTGTTTTCTTCCATGGCTTGACTCATGAGTATTGAATCCAGCAATTGTGTCCTGGTACCTTGACTGCTCCGGGAGTAGAAAATATTACAGGGCAGGGGCCCTTCCATGTGGGCTGGAGTTGAGCCTTTGGGGACCCATCCTTTCAGACTTTAATTACTACTTGAGTCCCTGGAGCATATAGTGATGACTCTTTAGAATCTTTTGGGACTTGGTTGATACCCAACAAGCGTTTATCTTGTGGAATTGCCCAATGGCCATGGTATAAGATCAGAGGCTCTGAGCCTCTGGATCTAGGAAGAAGTCATTGACATAAACAAAAGGTCTCCAATACAGCATCTCATAAAGACTAAGACCAACCTGTTCCTTAGGGACAATATGGGTGCAGAGGAGAACTATTGGTAAAGCCTCCTTCCATCCCAGGGAAGTCTCCTGGATTATCTTTTTAATCACTGCTTTTAAGAATTGGTTGGCTCTTTTTATTTTTCCTGAAGACTGAAGACTTCAGGCACAATGGAGGTAATGGTTTAGAGACCCCTTGGGTGACCTTAGAAGTAAAATGATGTCCCTTTGTCACTCAATCAGCTGGGCAGACCAAATCTCAGAATAATTTCATGGAACAGTTTTTTTTTTTACCACCTCCTCCAACTTCTCAGTCTGGGTAGGAAAACCTTCAATCCATCCTGTGAACGTATCTGTCATGACTAGTAGGTATTTATACCCTTGAGAAACTGGTGTCTGGGTGAAGTCCATCTGCCGGTCCTCTCCTGGGTAGGCCCCACACCACTGGACAGGCTGGATCAGCTGGGGTCTTCGAGCTCCTTGGGGATTGTTTAACTGGCAAATGGGAAAAGAGGAGACCACTTGCCTTATATCATTTGGAGGCCTGTTCCTCTAAAGGATCTTTCTAGTAATCTTTGGAGGGCCTCCTCCCCTAAATGAGTGGTGGCATGTAAGGAGTTAACCAACTTCCATTGGAGGTTCCTAGGCAGAAAAAGGAGTCCCTTCTTTTGGAATCACCCATATAGTATTCTTGAAAGCCTTCACTCTTAGCTTTAAGAGTCTCACCTTCAGTATATGAAGGAGTTTCTGGCAAATTAGTCTGTGGACCCAAGGTGGCAACCCCTATTAGGTCACTGTCCTGTAATACTGCCCTCTTAGCTGCCTGATCAGCTGCTTGGTTCCCTCGTGCCACTTCCGTTCTCCCTTTTTGGTGTCCTTTACAGTGGGAGACTGAAACTTCAGAGGGCAGATGGACTGCCTCCAAAAGCCTAAGGATTTGATCACCATATTTGATTGGGGACCCTCGGGTGGTCAAGTGGTCTCTTTCTTTACAAATAGCAGCATGTGCATGTAACACCAGAAAGGCATACTTGGCTATTCTTTTCCTTTTCCCAGCTCTAAAGCTCGAGTTAGAGCTATGAGCTCAGCTAATAGGGCTGAAGTACCTGGTGCAGAGGCTTAGCCTCTATGATCTCAAAATTGGAGACTACTGCATATCCGGCTCTTCTTTTTCCATCCAAGACAAAGCTGCTTCCACCAGTGTACCAGATTTCCTCAGGATTGGTAAGAGGGTCTTCTTACAGTCCCTCTTGGGGTTTTGTCCAGTGGTCCTAGGTTTCCAGACAAGAGTGAAAGAGGAGAGAGCCCTCGGGCGTAGGCAGGAGGGTGGCTGGGTTAAGAACTTCACATAGGGATATAATGAGGCCTGGATTTTCCTTCAGCACTACTTGATATCTGAGGATCCTTTGATCAGACATCCATAAATGGCCTCTCCCATTCAGGAGTTGTTTCAGTTGGTGACTGGTAAAAATAGTTAGTTTGCCCCCACAAGAAAGTTTTAAAACATCTTCTATCAGGATTGCAATAGCTGCAAGATTTCAAAGGCAGGGAGGCCAGCCTTGGACAGTTGGGCCAAGCCTCTTGGATAAGTAAGCTACAGGCTGGGGCTCAGGTCCCAACATTTGAGTCAACACTCCCATGGCTATTCCTTCCATTTCTTGGACATAAAGTTTGAATGCTTTTTCTGGGTCTGGCAACCTCAATGCAGGTGCTTGAGTTAAGGCTTGTTTTAGTGTAGCCTCTGACTTCTTTTGAGGAGTTCCCCACATCAGTGGGATTGAATCATCCCATCCCCTCAAGCTTTCATATTAAGGCTGGGCAATTACACCATAGTTGGGTATCCAGATTCTACAATACCCAGTTAGCCCCAGGAAAGCTTGCAATTGTATTTGAGTCATAGAGCAACTGGAGGATTCCTTGTACTTGATCAGAGGACAGCCTCCTGGACCTGTGTGTAATCTGAACTCCCAGGTAACTGACCTTTGTCTTGACCATTTGTGCCTTAGCATGGGAGACTTTGTATCCCCTCTCTGCCAAAAGGCTTAGAAACTGAATTGCATGTTGTTGGGCATTTTTCTCATTTTGTGAGCAGGTTAGTAGGTCATCTACATATTGTAATATTTTCCCGTTAGGTCCCAGGTCCAGATCTAGGAGACCCCGGTTAAGAACCTGCCCAAACAGGTGGGGGCTATCTATGAAGCCCTGAGGGAATACTGTCCAAGTCATCTGTTGGTGTTTTTCTCCTGGAGCCTCAAAGGCAAAAAGATTTTCGGATTCTTTAGCCAGTGGTATGCAAAAGAATGCATCTTTGAGATCCAGGACTGTAAACCACTTGCCACTGGGCGGGATTTCTCCCAAGATTACATACGGATTGGGTACTGTGGGATGGAGGGGGACTACAGCTTCATTTACGATCCAGAGATTTTGAACCATTCACCAGGTCCCGTCCTTTTTCTTTACAGGGAGGAACGGAGTGTTACATGGCTAATTGGTGGGGACCAATAGCCCACAGGCAAGGAATTTATGTATTAGAGTCTGTAGTCCTTCCCGAGCTTCTTCCGAGGGGGTATAGTTTCCAGTTTGGAAACCGAGTGGGATCTTGGAGGACAATGATGACTGGTTTAGCTTGGTGAGCTCATCCAGGAGTCCCCTGGTCCCACACCTGGGGTTAATTTTGTCCTCTCGTAGTTTTTGGTCCCTCTCTATTGGAGAGGGTGCAATGGGTCCTTCAGTAGTAACCAGGAGCTGTAGAGCTCTAGGGGCTGAAAAGCTTCCCATCACAAGGGTGGTCCCCAGTTTAGTGAGTATATATCTTCCCAATAAGGGAGTAGGACACTCAGGGACCACCAGAAACTGGTGGGAAAATATTTGTCCATCCCAGCAACAAAGAAGTGCTCAGGTCCGGTCTCGCCGCCTGGAGCCAGTGCTGGTTGTGAGGGGTCGCGTCTCGCTGCCGCCGACCGGCTGGGGCATGGTGTTGGGCGCCGGGCCCGCCTCGCCTGTCTCGGGGTGCCCAGGAAAAAGGCAGCAGTGATGCTGACACTGGCAAGCAAGCTGAAGCGGGATGACGGTCTCAAAGGATCCCAGGCGGCTGCCACAACCTCTGACTCCAGTCGGCGGGTGTCTGTGAGGGACAGGCTGCTTGTTAAAGAGGTTGCAGAACTTGAAGCTAATTTACCTTGTACGTATAAAGTGCATTTTCCTGATCCAAACAAGCTTCATTGCTTTCAGCTAACTGTCACCCCAGATGAGGGTTACTACCAGGGTGGAAAATTTCAGTTTGAAACTGAAGTTCCTGACGCATACAACATGGTGCCTCCCAAAGTGAAATGCTTGACCAGGATCTGGCACCCCAACATCACGGAGACTGGTGAGATATGTCTCAGCTTACTGAGAGAACATTCGATCGACGGCACCGGCTGGGCCCCCACAAGGACGCTGAAGGATGTTGTTTGGGGATTAAACTCTTTGTTTACTGATCTGTTGAATTTTGATGATCCACTGAATACTGAAGCTGCGGAACATCATTTGTGAGACAAGGAGGACTTCCGGAATAAAGCGAGGACTACATTAAGCGCTACGCCAGATGATACGGAGAGAGGACTGCAGGGCTGCAGACTGTGCGTGAGAAGATGGGCTCCACCCGCAACCAGAGGGAGCCTCTCCCCGGTCCTCGGCTCCCCTCAGTCCCGCCGGCTCATCCGAGTCCTGTGACCGTGTTGTCCTGAGGAAGAACCTCTTCACGACCGCCCATTGTAGCCGGAGAGTTCCACATAAATACAGCCAGAAAATGTGTCTGGGGTCCTAAAGAGTTGTCTGCTTACCTTAACATGTTTACTTTTTTGAAACTGTACTGTATAGGCTGATGATGAGAATGAACTCAGCGTCGAGGCTAGAGCTGCTTCTCCCCTCCCCCGTCAGTCCCGCCCAGGTGATGCTCATGACGTGCTCAGTGTAGCCAGCAAATTAGCCGTCAGAAACTCGCTGCAAACTGTGATTGGTGCGAAGTCTCTTAGCTCCTCGCATGAATGTCGGCCCTGCCTAGGTGTCGTGAAGCTTCCCAGAATGCAGAGTCATTCACTGTAGATCTCTTACTGAAATGCGTATTTTATTTAATTTAAGTATATTTTGGAACAGATTTGTAATTTGTACAATTTAATGCTTTAATTATTTTTTTTTCTATTCTCATTTAGTTTGTATTTTCATTGTATAGAGCAGACAGATGTTGGGTCAAGCAACTATTGAGAAATACAAAGAAAATATGAAAGGCAAAAAAAAAAAAAAAAAAAAAAGAAGTGCTCAGGTGAATCTTTCTGTAATTGTTTTTCGTGTAGCACCCAAAATGGTACAGGTTTGGGGGGAGAAGGCTCTGGAGTAGGAGGTCAGGACAGAGTAGGTAGCCCTGTGTCAACCAAGAAATTCTCAGATCTACCTGCCACATCCAGTTGCACCCTTGACTCTAGCCCTGTGATGGTTATCTGTGACAGGCAGGCTGGCTGGAGTGGGCCGCTTCAGTCCTGTTGAACCATCATGAAGGAAGGCTTGGCGCTTGACCCAAGGGCAGAGTGCCGCCCAATGTCCCAACTGATGACATTTGTAGCAAGTCATTATAGGAGACTTTTCAGGGTTTGGACACTTTGGCCCAATATCCCGCCTGTTTACAGATTAGGCATTTATCCATGCCTTGTCCTTCAAGGACTCCGGGTTTGTCATAGGGCTTCCCTGGAGGCCGGCTAGCATCTGGGCATGCCTTGTCTCTTTCCTTTTCTCCCTCTCCTGGGTCTTGGCCTCCCTCTCCTGTTCTCTGTTATAAAAGGTATTGGTGGCTGTCTGGACCACCTCATCTAAAGAGGCAGCAGGGTCCTGCTGCTGTAGCTGTTGTAACTTTATTCTGATGTCTAATACACATTGGGATAGGATTTTTTCCTTTAAAATCACTTGTCCCTTGTAAGAGTCTAAGTCCATATTGGTAAACTTTTGGAGGGCCTCTTTTAGACTTTCCAGAAAGGCAATGGGGTTCCCATTGGGCTCCTGAGTTATTGCTGAGACTGGGCACAGTCCCACAACTAATAGGCTTCCTTCTAGTTCCATGGGTGGACTTCCTTTGGGGTGAGTCTTTCTGAAGCTTATCCTACCCAGTACTGGTGCAACCTGAAAGCTAGGCATCCCTTGTTCAGGGTGCAGATCCCCAGGCACGTTGAGGCATGACAACCTCAAGGAGATTGAATCCCTGGGAAGACTGAGGCATGTCAGTCTCCTGAGGATTGGATCCCTGGGCAGGTCGAGGCATGACAACCTTCCAGGGACTGGACCCCTAGGCAGGTCAAGGCAGGTCGACCTCCTGGGATTCCCAGGCTGGAGTTGGGTGTCCCCAAGGTCTCCAGCATGACTAGTACTAGGTAGGATTAAGGGGTTGTAATCTTAACTCATTGCTGGTTTGTCCACTGCAGATGGGAATAGATACCATGATGTAAAGCAATCCAAGCCTGCACCATGAGACTGGGAACCTGGTGAAACAGCCATAAACCTTATCCTTTTATTGCTCTGAGGGAATGTAAGTCACTGATTTCTTCCCTTAGTCCTCATAAGAGCAGTTTAGGGTGTCTCCAATGGTAAACATTTCATTGTCATAGACCCCCTTTAGGTAATAACAGAAGTAATGACAAAGGACTGGGTTATCTGGCCCTGTTAGGGGCATTAAGTAATAATAAGCGGGGCAGAGCAATGTTGCCTACAAGGGGCCAGAGTCCTGGTTGTAGGAGTTAGTAAGTGGCTTAAGGACAAAATGATAAGAGGCAACAGACCAGATGTTTGATAAAAGTAGAGTGGAGATTTGATCTGGGGGTATGTTTGTACCTTTAGGAGAAGGGTGGTAAGGGTTTGGGCCCAAAGGGCCTGCAGTGATAACTCCCAAAGTGACAAACATTATCCCTGGAAGCCCAGGTGCCCTTGAAGTGATGCCACCAACAGATGGACTTCTAGTAGGCATTGTGTGCTGTCACCTGACCTAGTGGGTTCACTGAGAGGTGCTGTTGTTGCACATGTTGCACATGTTGTGGGAAACATGGAAGATGAAGGCCTGAATCTCTAGAGGGATTGGATATTTTACAGTATTTCCATCCCAAGGGCCAGCTGTTTTCTGGTTGTCCCTCCAGAAGATTGTAGAGGCAACAGTGTGAGGCCGGACGGGGCTCAGGAAAAGAGCACAAAACAGGAGGGAAGGGGGCAGGGCACAACTTTTGAAAGAATGACATAGCACAAGGGCATAACATAAACCAATTAAAATCAAATGGGTCCAAGATGACAAGCCAAATTCAACTAGATCTTGATTCTCAACCTGCAAGCTAAATGACACGTTCAGATGTGCCAGGACAGTTCCAAGTCACTGTCAAAAGACGGAGGAGTGTGTGGTTCCCCAATTGTCGGAATGATACTCCCACTCATTAGCATATGAAATCACCCAGCTAGTGAAAACTAACCACAACACACTTCATGGCCGCTGCACTCCCCTCTGTGATGGCCCACACTCTTGGAGTGTGTCTCTCTCTGAATCTGAATAAACCCTCCTCTTGCCTACTGCTGTGTCTCTCATTGAATTTTTGCAATGAGACATCAAGAGCCTGAGCTTAATTAGGTCCTAAAACTAGGCACCCTGGGTTTTGGCCAGGCTCAAGTCCCAGTTGGATATGACTGAGTGACTAAACATAACACAGAGTCTCTGCCTCATGGGCTTGAGTCCCAATCTAAGGTAAATGGTTTCAAGTACAACTTTCAGAAATGGAAAGACGATGACCTGCCCAATCTTTGTAAGCAGTGGCATAGATGGAGAGAGGAGCTGAAGGAAAAAGCAGGGAGAAAAACCTGCTGAGGAATCCCTTTCATAACCTGCAGAAAATCTGCTAAACACCTGACCTGTGCCCACAGTTTTCATTGGCCTGATCCTTGGCACAAAGAAGATTAAGGACAGAAGAACTCTCACCCACTTGGACAATAGCTACTAAATAGCCCCTGCTAGAGTCTCTCCACTGCACCCACTGCCACTGGCCTGTTCACAGGGGGTTCAAAGAAACAAGAAACAAGAGATTGTAAAGGAATTAAGATTTTGTTAGGCATGTGTCCTTCTAGCCATAGGAATGAGGACTTCCTACCTTAACCAGAGGTCTTCTGGAGTCTGAGACTGAGTTGTGTAAGCTTTCTGCTGAGTTTGTTTTTCACTGTCCCAGTTTCCAGCATGCTGGGCTTCTTCCCATTGGACTTTCTTCATGTTCAGCTTGCACTGTGGGATCTATTGACAAGTTGGCTTCTGCTGTGCTTGGCCTCTGCCTTGTGGGGGCCAGGCCGAGGTTGTTTCAGCCAGGTTAAATCCAAGAAATGGCACCATATATGTTGGGGGGTGTGTGTGGGTGTGTGTGTGTGCAATTTCCTCAGTTGTGTCTCGCCACAGCAAAGATTTGAAATGGTGGACCAGTGTTACAGTTCGGTTACAGCAGAGTTTTATTCAGCAAGCAAAGGAGAGATGTGAGGGCAGGCCAACCCCAAATGAGAGGCTTCAATCCGTATTGGCTTCCTCCTTTTGTACATTTGTCTCCTTCCCCCCTTGAGCCTGCTCTATGCAAATTTGGCTGGCCATAAAGGGGTTGTGTTTGTTTCACCTGAAGTTCTCACTCTGGTCCATGGATTTTGTTTTGTTCCATTTTTGCAGGCTTTTCCCTTTCTTTGTCTTTTAGCCACTGCCATTTTGGACTCCTTTTCCCTATTCTAACTACCTAACAATAGTTACAAGTTGACACAAAAAAATTTTACCAAAATTTTACAAGTTGCAAAGGATGTATTGTTGTTGTATTGTTGTTGTTCAATTCTATGTCATGTCTGACCCTTTGCAACCCTATAGATTGCAGTACAACAGGCTTCCCTGTCCTGCACTATCTCCCAGAGTTTACTCAAACTCATGTTCATTAAGTCGGTAAAGCCAACTTAAGTCGGTAACTTCCAACCATCTCATTCTCTGCGACCACCTTTTCCTCCTGACCTTAATCTTTCCCAGCAACCGGGTCTTTTCTGATGAGTCAGTTCTTCGAACCAGGTGGCCAAAGTATTGGAGCTTCAATCTCAGCATCAGTCCTTCCAGTGAATATTCATGGTTGATTTCCTTTAGGATTGACTGGTTTTATCTCCTTGGATTCCAAGGAACTGTCAAGAGTCTTCTCCAGCATCACAGCTTGAAAGCATCAATTCCTCAGCATTCAGCCTTCTTTATGGTCCAACTCACACACCCATATATTGAAGAGGAAAAGTTAAAATTTACAATAACTTCCTGCTCGTTCTGTTTCTGTAACTCAGTCACTCAGTGACTTCTTATGTAAGTCACATAATCTTGAGAAAATGGAGACTTACAACAATGCTACAAACTGAAGCTTATCTCACTCACACTTGCCCTGCTTTTTCAATTGCCCAGCCCCTTTAATCCTGCTTAACCATGCTTGTCTGTGTAAAGGTCAGGCATTCCCCTTCCCTGTCCTAACTGCTGTTCCCAT